AAAGAGGTATCGTTGTCCCCTCTTAACCAGTTTCACCTTTTGCATTTGCAGTTTCACATGGTCAAATGCCATCTGAAAATATTAAATGGAACATTCCAGAAGTAAACAGTTCATAAGTTTTAAATTGTATGACTTTCTGAGTAGCATAATGAAATCTTGATCCATCCCTCTTGGGATGTCATTCCTTTGTCCAGCTAGAGTACCCACACTGTATATGCTACTCACTTAGTAGCCATCTCCATTATCATACTGAATGTTGAAGTATGTCAATGCTTGTGTTCAAAATGCCTTATTTTACTTAATAATGGTCCCAAAGCATGAGAGAAAAAATACTGGCAACAGATATACCAAAGAGAAACCATAAAGTACTCCTTTAAGTGAAAAGAAAGTTGTCGACATTACAAGGAAAGGGGAAAAAAAAATCATACACTGAGGTTTCTAAAGTATGCAATAAGAATGAATCTTCCCTCTGTGAACTTGTGAAAACGAAAAAGAAATTCATGCTAGCTTTGTTGTCACACATCAAACAGTAAAAGCTGTGGTCACAGTGCCTGATGAGTGCTTAGTTAAGATGGAAAAGGTATTAAATTTGTGGGTGCAACCATGTGTGTATGCATACATAGGAAATAACACAGTGTCTGGGCATCCAGTGGGCATCTTAGAAAACATCCACTGTGGATAAGGGGGGATTGCCACATGTGTTCTAGAAATTCTTTGGGAAATAGGAAATAGGGTAAACATGACATAAATAGGAGAGGGTAAGAGAAAATAAAGAAGGTGAAAATAATATATGAACATACTGCTAACTCCACTTTTTTTTTCGTAGAGGTAGGAAAGTTTATTAAGAGAAAGAATAAAAGCTCCCTCGGGAAAAAGGGGTCCCAAGTGGGTTGCCCTAACTCTCGCCTTTTGTGGTTAGGTTGCACATGCCATTCTATAAATATTTTTTGATCATGCGACCTTTTTACTTATACAACTGACTCAGGTGTCAAAGGCTTTAGAAACATAAGGTAAATGTTGTTTTGGGTTTTTTTGCTTTTTTTTTTTTGTCAGTACTGGGGTTTGAACTTGGGGCCTCACACTTGCTAGGTAAATGTTCTACCACTTGAGCTGCAAATCCCGGCTCTGGTAAATGTATTTTAAACAGTGTTACATTTTGAAACATGTCCAATGTGGTTTTCTTCATCCAGTAGGTATCTTTCCAGGCAAATTACTTCTAGGTTAAACACAATGGGTCCAATCATGAATCTGAAAATAAACACAATAAATACACTTACACTGTGCTCCCTTTTCGGATACTATGATTATGCTTGATTTAGATGTCAACAGAAAAACAATTGACAGACAAATGTGTGTGAGTACATGGGTAATTTATTTCCTGGCTAAATCAATATGAAAACGAAATCTGATTGAAACACCAAGCAACCTACAATTATGATACTTTTTGTATGTCTTTGATTGTATATCTTCTTATCTTCTGCATGTTTACCTGTTCTTCCCTATGGAAGGGAGTCCAGAAGGTAGAGCCCTCAGTGATTCGGTGGCCATTAGCTCAGGATTTTCTTTTTTGCTGAGAGCAGAAGTGTGTGACCAATGCACATTTTTTCCCCTCCAGCATCATTTCCTCTGAAACGAAAGGTGTCATTTTTTTCCCTTTTTACGGGTAATAAAAACTTTGGAAGTTTATGCTAATTTTTATCATTGTGGTTATGTAATCATTTATAGAATCAGCTAAAATTGGGTATCCATTGTATTTTGGTTATATTTTGCTTTGTAGGTTACTATTCCTGGCGAAATTCAAAGGATGGATCGTGGTTCATCCAGTCCTTTTGTGCTATGCTGAAACTGTATGCACACAAGCTGGAGTTTATGCACATTCTGACCCGGGTCAACCGGAAGGTAGCCATGGAATTCGAGTCCTTCTCCCTCGACGCCACTTTTCATGCAAAGAAACAGATTCCATGTATTGTGTCCATGCTCACCAAAGAACTCTATTTTTATCATTAAAGAAATGGTTGTTTTTTTTTAAGTTTGTATGCCAAGTGAGAAAACAGAATGTGATACTTTATTTCCCTCTCATCTACAACTACTCTGATGTTCCAGATGGTCCTTGGAAACTTACCACTTCCCTACCAATAGAACCACAGTGAAGCTAGGTCAAGCTCAATATCAGGTAGTTGAAATTGAATTGAATTGAAATATGGGTAATGGTGCTATCATTATGAGAAGATATTATTACAATTTTATATCTTTCATAGTTAGCAAATTTGGTAATGGTAGCTATGAATTTTCAGGTAATTATAGGAAGCTAAACATTGCAGTAATGAGTTTTTAATGATACTCCTCACACACATTATCACTGTACATTCTAACTTGTTCAACTACAGAAATGATGAGGTGGAATGGTGTGTCTCAGAACTCTGAGATTCATGATCATGGTCAAAGGCTTGAGCCTTTATTTTGCAATTGATATATGGAAATGAGTAAACTTCATTTTTAGATCATTTGTCATAGCTCATGGTTTTGTGATGTTTGTCTTGAGCATGTCTTTGTAAAATACATGTTTACTATTGGAAAAGGAAGGAGATATTTTGTTTGGGAGAAAATATGAGCACACTGAGTTGATCCTTATAAGACTACAATGCAACATGAATAGAAGGACATAACTAACTCTCAGGTGCTAAGATCTACCAGCATGTACTTATTCTCATCTGTTTTTAAGCAAATCAGCTGAGATTTATGGACCAGCAAAATATCTGTAGAACCATTATGTAAAAACCTCAAACTTGATTATTAGGATATGAAGTAATTCTACAGGAACATACTAAAATACCATTTGTTCAATAAGCAATCAGATGTAAGGAAAGAATGAGAAATGGATCAGGTGGGCTCTCTGAGCAGAAACACGGTCTGGCCTAGTCAGTAAAAACAGAATCATGCACTGCACTGCAGAAAAGGACCTCTAGCTGGTTTCTTCATACAGGTACAGGTGTGCACAGATGCCCAAATCACCATGTGAGAGAGCAAACCAGTCAGAAACTTCTGAAATGGAGCTTTTCCAAAGTTGGTGGGAATCATAATACTTGCAGTAAAATTTGTAAGCATGTTATTTTCTTTGATGTTTACAACCAATGCTTGTACTTTTACCTGAACTTCAAAGGACCATGACACACAGGACTTTGGAAGCATCCAGTAAGAGCCCCTCCTGTGCACATGCAGAAACTTCATGCTGGAGCTCAGCCTCACCAGGGAGGTCAGCCCCAGGTTTCCTCACCTCAATGGTGCAGAGCCATTACCAACTGCCTGGCCTATCTCACTGACTTTCAGTCTGACATTTCACATGAACTTGTTGCTTAAAAGAATTCATGTTTATAATTGACAGCTGATTTGTTTTGGCCAGATCTATTAACTTTTTCTAAGTAAGTATTGCACGTAATGCCATTTTAAGATGTGTTCCCATGTGAGAATTTTATAAAAATTTGTTACTTTCCATTTTTATTTCAAAATATAGATTTAAACTTAAAATCACCAATGTGTTTGGCTTTTTTTTTTAATTTTTTGCTACTAAATGGAAGTTAAAATATCTTTAACCAAGCGCTTAATTCAGAAGAGTCACACAGGATGTACCAGGGCCCTGATCTAGTATTTCCGGGGACTGGCAAATGACCAGACCCCTTCAGCTTCCCACGTCCTCTCTAGAATGACCACAGTGCCAGGAAGGTTACTAGACTTGCATCTAGCTCAGTCCCTAAATATGACCAGGGTTTTGAATTTGAAATAATTTTTCACAACCTAGTGAGAAATAAAAAGCCATGGGTGAGGGGACATGCTACAAGCCAAGGGTGTGTGCTGGCAGCAGCCTGGGGAGATGGGCTTGTGACAGAAGATAGGCTTTCTTTGTATGCTATGTACTTAGAAAAGGAATTTAGGAGTGACAGGGGTGCCTTTAAATTTCTTCTGATATTTTATACTAAACCTATGACTTTTAAGTCAGGAATAATAAAGTTGTAACAGGGAGCATTTGTTTTCAAGGCGCAGAGTCGTAGCATAAATGACTTCCTTCAGACTCTTAAACCTGTGCTCTGGGATGTGTTGAGAAAAATCTAGTTATCCCACGCTTTCTGCCATATAAAGAGATCTCAGATATTAAAAAGACCAGTGACCCATTAGAAAATTGAGCTAAGGGCATTAACAGACAGAAAAAGAAAGACCAGACATCCCTTGGACTCAGATTTTAATCACTATCATAATAAGAGGAATGCAAACAAAACTAAGGTATCCGTCATCTGTCAGAGTGGCAGAGTTTTTCCAAAGTGTGATAACATTTATTTTGTCAAGATGGAAATGTACGCTCTCTCACTGAGGGAAGTGTGAAACGGTGTGGTCCTCCGTGAAGAAGAATCTGGCCACCATCTATCAGGTTCTTTAACTGGCCAGGCGTGGTGGCTTACACCTGAAATCCCAGCACTTGGGAGGCTGGGGCAAGAGGATCTCAAGTTTGAGGCCAGCCTGAGTTTAAAGACTAATCTACATAGCAAGACTCAGGGGGTGTGGGGGAAGGTTTCTCATTGCAACATTGTTTTAATGGTAAGAAATGACAGCAACACCCCTTGAAAGAAGACAGGTTAAAACACCCTGGTGCATCCACACAGAAAACATGTTGAATGAAGGATTACGGTTTGTTTTTTAAAGTGGGAAAGGTTTGAATGTGTACCAATGGCAAGGATCCAATTAAGAGAGACTGAAAGTATAGGACAGAAAAGTAAATGACAGTATAGGTAGGGCTCCTGAGACCCCTAAGAAGGTAAACCAGCATCATTGGGGGTGTGGCAGGAAGAAAAGAGTCTTTTGTTTAAAAAAGAAAAAAATGTGAGAGGCTGTGTGAAAGAGGACAGATTTGTCTTTTTGTGTGTGTGTGTGGCAGAACGTTCCTGTAGGATAACTTTAGCTTCAGTATTTTCTGTGAAGCAGATGTCAAGGACTCACCAAGTTAAGGAGGCAATAGTTAGTTGCATTGAGGAGTAGGAGAGCAAGGGAGATTTGAAACAATGAGTGGGAGAGTGCATTGACCAGAGATGAGTGAAATTGCTGGGCAGTGCTTAGGGACCCAGTTGAAACCAACAATTATGAGTGTGCAGCACTACCAGCCTGTCCTGTTGGGTGAATTTATCCACTAACTCTTCTCAGCTGCTGGAATATTGGCAAAATGTGGCCTGGGTTGACTTTTTCCAACATTGAGCTTTTGCCTGCATTTATTAAAAAAAAAGAGTGGGTCCACAGAGTTCAAGGTTCTGCAAAATTATTTACTGAATTGATGAACATAGAAGGTAAGCTGGCTACAGGGAAATGGAAACAAAAAGTGTTCAATTCTAGGGACTAAGAGAAGTGGTCCATGACCTGGTGGTCCTAATGAATTTGAAAATCCATGGTAGTGAGAGAAATGGGAGAATAAGACTAAAATTATGGGAGATTAAGTGTCACAAATGGGTTGTCTGAACTTAAGGTAAGGCAGGTTTAATGGTGACAAAGTTGGTACTATGCAGAAGAATGTGGAAGAAAAAGTCCACTTTGGAAATTAAGTCATAAAACTGAGAGGTGAGATGCCTTCATTCTTCTCACCAACTAGCTCTAAATTAGGAGCTCCTATCACTCCTTTTGAAGAGCAATAATTTACCAAAATACCTTACAGAACTCAGGAACATATACATTTGCAACTTGTTAAATAATACATAAGGAACAGTCCCATGGAAAAGGCATAGGGCATGGTATGGAGAGACACAGAACTTCTGTGATTTCTCTGGATGCCCCAAACTTCCAAAACTTGCATTTGTTCACAACCTGGAAACTCTTAGTCTCATTGTTTATGAGTTTTTACAGTCTCCAATAACCCTGACTTATCCCAAGATTAGGAGTAGGGTGGAAAATTATAATCTTTAATCATTTGGTTTTTCCAGGGGCTATCCCCATCTTGAGATTGTTATAAACAACAAAACTCCTTCCTATCACTCAGAACATTCTAATGGTTTTAGGAGAGCTGTGGCTACAGGCAGATATCAAAATCTTATAACTGAGAAGCATCTCTGTGCCTTTAGGCTGTATATAAAGCGATTATTTTTAGTGGCTGAAAACTGACTGGAACAGAAGCAGCTTAGTGGAGGTAGAGGAAGGAGGAACCCATGTTGGAGGGTTAGAAATTTTTGTGCTTTGGAGACTTGAAAGATGGTGGCAGGAGAGATGCCAGGAAGAAGACACACCTAATATTTTGTAAAATATCTAATATTATCTAACAGTGAGTTTATTATATTTTCAAACCAGTTCTCCTAGAAATTTGCCTACTTTTAAAGAATCCAGAAATAACTGCTTCTGCTCAAAACCTAAAAGTATGTTATTGCTTCCCATTTTTAATCAGAACTCTATATAGTCAAGAGCACCATGTAGAAATAGTTCCCTGCTTCCAACCAGTGTTGCTATCTCTCTATTCTGATCATTTGCCTCCAGGACCATTATTGCTGATACAAAGCCAAATGGAAAGGACTGAGACTTGCAGGTGGTTTCTGTTGAGAGTTTCTGTTTATAAATCTGTAAAAATGAGTTGCATAACTGCTGGTGTGAGTGGTGAAGGCACTCTGTGTGCCAAAACCTTGCTAAACTCCTCCAAATCTTGCCTGCCCTTCCCCATTACCTGTTCTTCTACCCCAGGGCTCCATCCCTTGCTGTGCACTTGAGACCATGGAATGAGAAATGATTTAGATGTGTCTGGCATGTGCATATCACCTGTGGTCTGAGATGAGAGTTTGTGGGAAGAAAATCAGTTTTATTCACATGTGGGCACCTTGGAAGATGGAGTGGGCATTGTTTCAAAGTTCTATCTTGAGAAACTCAGGAGTGCAAGGGCTTTTATAGGGAAAGAAAGGTAGAGTAGGAGACAAGGGACAGAACAGCACAAGGTTTTGTGCTGAACAGTGTGTGTGTGTGTGTGTGTATGTTTATTTCATTTCTTCATCAAAACATAGCAATGGATCTCAGCTTCCTAGGGCTTGTTCCTATAGTTTAGTCAGGCATGACTTTTCTGTGAGTTAAACCTCAGCAATTTACATGCTTTTTGTTAATTGTGGCATAGAATGAAAGACTAAGGAGGAGCATTATATATTCTGATGTTATCTGAAGGTCACCAGATATTCTGGGCTGTGATTGAAGGAAAGAGAATTTAGCAGTAAACATCTTAATCATTTAGGTACAGCTTTTCTTTAGAACTTCACATGCCAGACAAAGAGCAGAGTCCTGTGCAAAGGACAATTTGTGAATGACCACTGATGCAAACTCAGGCCTCTCTGATACATCCATATTCTTAAAGTTATCCTACTATAATTTTTAAATGATTTACTTGGGTTATAGGATTACTTAGGCTCAAGCCTGTAATCCTAGCTAGTTGGGAGGCAGAGATTGGAAGGATCGCAGTGTGAGGCTAACCCTGGCAAAAAAGTTCACCAGAAAATGGATGGAATTGGAGAACATCATTCTGAGTGAGGTCAGCCTGGCCCAAAAGACCAAAAATCGTATGTTCTCCCTCATATGTGGACATTAGATCAAGGGCAAACACAACAAGGGGATTGGACTATGAGCACATGATAAAAGCGAGAGCACACAAGGGAGGGGTGAGGATAGGTAAGACACCTAAAAAACTAGCTAGCATTTGTTGCCCTTAACGCAGAGAAACTAAAGCAGATACCTTAAAGCAACTGAGGCCAATAGGAGAAGGGGAACAGGTACTAGAGAAAAGGTTAGATCAAAAAGAATTAACCTAGAAGGTAACACCCACGCACAGGAAGTCAATGTGAGTCAATGCCCTGTATAGCTATCCTTATCTCAACCAGCAAAACTCCTTGTTCCTTCCTATTATTGCTTATACTCTCTCTACAACAAAATTAGAAATAAGGGCAAAATAGTTTCTGCTGGGTATTGGGGAGGGGAGAGGGAGGGGGCAGAGTGGGTGGTAAGGGAGGGGGTGGGGGCAGGGGGGAGAAATGAACCAAGCCTTGTATGCACATATGAATAATAAAAGAAAAATGAAAAAAAAAAAAAAGTTCACCAGAGCCCATCTCAACCAATGGCTGGGTGTGGTGGTGTGTGCCTGTCATCCTAGCTATGTGGGGAAGCACAAATAGGAGGGTCATGGTCCAGGCTAGCCTGGGATAAAACATGACCCTATCTTAAAAAATAACCAATGCCAAAAGGGCAAGTAGCGTGGCTTCAGTAGTAGAGCCCCTGCCTGGCAAGCAAAAGGCCCTGAGTTCAAACCTCACTCAGTACCACCAAAATAAAGAGGAAGAAAGAGAGAAAAAGGAAGGGGGAAGGGAGGGAGGGAGGCATGGGGAGCACAGTAGGAGAAGCCTGTGAGGACATAAGCACAGTTGTACTCAATGTTCTGCAGGCTGAGTTCAACACAGCCCCAGCCACAGAATAGGGCGAGAATAAGA